TAAAAATATACGATAAAAAATCGGTGATAAATTCTTCAAATAAAAAAAAATTACCAACTTCGAAAGATCATATACGTTACGGAAGGTTAGAATAATAATATACTACACAATAATATAGAATATCAATGCATATGGAATTGCATATGGAAGTCCTGGAAGTCCTTTGTGGGTCGAGCCTTACAACAGTCGAATGAAAATTATCCTCAATGGGATAACAAAATAAAAGGTAATAAAAATATTATGAACTACTGTTTTCTACTTATGAGTTAATTAAACATATAGCCAATAAATATAAATATAAATATAAATATAAATATAAATATAAATATAAATATAAATATAAATATAAAAATAAAAATAAATATAAATGTAAATATATATATAAATATAAATGAAACATAAATATAAATATAAACATATATATAAACATATATATAAACATATATATAAACATATATATAAACATATATATAAACATATATATAAACATATATATAAACATATACATAAACATAAATATAAATATAGTCAAAGTTTCATCACTCGAAGTACCATTTTGTAAAGAATAGGTTTGACTTATGGAGACTTCGAGTTAAACAATTTTATTGTAACTGTATACCTCTCTCTAAACCCTCTTGCACTTTATTTAGTTTGAGTTATAGAAAATTCGAGTTATAGAAGTTTTTGTTTTTTAAAAAGATTTCATTTGAATCAATATTTCGACTATATTCAACAGTTATCTTTAGGCTAGTAAAATGTTCTTATACATTAACATCAAAACATGAATAATAATATAGAGAGAATAAATATAAAATACATTGACAATAAAATATAAAATACATTTATAAAGAATTAATATATTTATCCTCTTCAAGATTTGTTGAAAGTTGTTGTATATCAGTATTATAATTGAGTCTGACGTTTATAGAATATAAAGATTTTCAGGAAAGAGCGTTTTCGTTAATTATTTTCTTGGTGTAACCCTTTACTTCATATTATTTTTATACTTTACGTTGTGTTTATGTCCAGCTATACGCGTCTTCAATTTGTGTTTTGTTGTACCAACCCTGAATATGACTATAATATATAGTCGAAATATTGGCTTAAATAAAATCTTTTTAAAAAACAAAAGAAATTTTTTTCTAAAGTATTTAAGTATTGACCAATTAGCCGGTTTAAAAAACAAAATTAGTATAAAGATAAATATAAATATATAATATATATATATAAAATATTATATAAATAGAATAAAATGTAGAATTTATCTTTTATAAATAGAGAAGAGAATAAAATATAATGAATAGAATAGAATAGAATAGAATAGAATAGAATAGAATAGAACAGAATAGAGTAGAATAGAATAGAATAGAATATAATAGAATAGAATAGAATAGAATAAAATAGAATAGAATTGAATAGAATAGAATAGAATATAAACAATATATTGGAGTTTTATTCAAATTTAACGGTAGTTCTGATCTTGTTGATGAGGATGGCCAAGTTAATAATAAATAAAAATAGAAAAAGTTTTTGAGAATATTTGATTTTAGACAACGTCTATGTTTCCAGTAATGATATGTTAATTAAACTTCTAGAAAAGACCTAAAAAAGGCATAGAAAATACCTTGTCAATCGTAAACTATATTGTGGCTTGGGAAGAGAGGCAACACTGAAAAACAATGCAATGTATTTTTATGTAAATAAATAGTCCATTATATATCAAAAAGTAGTGAGCATTTTTAATTCTTTTAATAAATATTTTTTTAATTTTTTAAGAACTGCGGCTTCGCCTTCTTGGTATTTATTTTTGAAAAATATTTTCTGAGTATCTTTCTGAGTTTGAGAAATAGAATAATGCCACGGCTTCTACGTGTGCAGAATAGGGTGGTTCCATTGATATTATGTTTTATCGCGAATTATAATGCAACTAATTTTTTATCATTTTGCTGATTCTTGTTTCGTGGCAATAATATACATAACTATCGTCCTATTTAATTTTTAAAATTAATATGTTTAAGTTTTTTCCATACTTTTATTTTTTATTTTGACGCACATGGTTGCAACCTGGATTTCATGTCATGTGCAATAACTTTTAGGCTTTTTTGAAAGCACATTTATCATTCAAAAACTCGCGATTGTTGTTATATTGTCGTTGTTAAATACTTTTTTTTAACATTTTCAATAATTTGTTGCATTTAATTTCTATTCCACACAAACTCTCGGATCCGGTGTTTTGCCACATAAAAAATGTCCAAACATATTAATTCACGTCTTCAACTGTCACGATCAACTGTCTGACAGTAAATACGTATGTCACTAGCTGTGTAACCAATACACAAAAAAAAATAATAGTCTAGATTAACAAGATTAATTACGTAGATTTTTAATATTATCGTTAATTTTTAACGATACGAAGTAGTAGGGTTTTTCATCGCAGCATATAATTATTTTATGTTTATATATATATGCTATATACACATTTATTTTTTCTCTTATAAATTATAAATATCAATTAATTAACTTTTCAATACCTTGTTTAAACGATAGTTCATCACTTTCAGCGCCTTCATAGTCATATAGAGCTTTTACAGGCACACCTGGTTCACCATTATCAACCAAAACATTATCAGTATCATCCCATTCCTCTTCCTCTTCAAATGGATTGGGATCGGCTTTGCCATTACCATTACTGTAAAGAATTTATCAACATTAGTTATTATTAATAAAAAGTGGGTGCGGAATGGATGAAGATTAAATATATATACGGAATACAAGCATATATGTATTTGCATATGAAGAATTTCACACTTCAATGGTTTATTGTTAAACGTTCTAACAATTTTCACTTACGTTACGCCTGAATTACGATTACTAGAAGCTGCCGCCGCCGTTGCATTTGCACCAGCGCTTTTGTTACTTCCAACGGTTGTTGTAACTGTGGATGATTCTTGTTGCTGTTGAACGGTTTTTCCACTAGATTTGTTCGATGTATTCTTCTTGAGACTATTTGTTGTTTGATACTCCTAAAGAGGTATGAAATTGAGACATAAATCATAGAAGTCGAATCCTATAAACTTAATAATAATATATAAATAGACTATATTTACATGCACATCCTCAGCTACAGGTCGTTGATTGATGAGCATTATTGGTGCTGCTGGAAGAGCTTCTTTTGATTTGCTACCTTTCGCTATATCTCGGAATTCTTCAGTATATTCCTAAATTTGAATGACAAAAGAGAAATGTTATTATTATATTAAAGCACAACTATATTTAGTGTTTAAAATAATTATATTTACAATAAATGCAGGCCAGTTCATTGCCATATTCACGCCATGATTATTTGACCACCATTTAAGATCTTTTTGTGAATCAGCATTGTTGATGGTGTGATAGAATTCCTCATATATTTGCGGTAAGCTGGGTTGTTATATATAAAAATTATTGATGTATATATTTGATTTTTGATAATTCCTTACCATTGAACCTTTGTTAGATCTAAACATGTGTGTATATTAAATAACACATCCTTGAAGAATGTGAGACGAGTTTTCTCCATTGCTTGGCACTTTTCGAATACATTAGTCATATCTTCTATATATACCGAATTATATTTGGTAATTTCAGATATGGCTTGTTCATATTTTTCACGACATTTTTGCACTTGATCTTTCGTTTTTTGTACGCGATCATGCATTTTCTTTACCTATAATGAGAAAATTACAATAAAGTTAAGATACTAACGTGATATATAATAAAAATTGCACTGTAACTAAAACTAAAGTAAATATAAAAGTAATGATCACATATATTTGCATGAGTGCATAGTGATAAGATTTGTTCTTTACACGAAACTAAAATGTAATTTAAGTTGACTTTTATGAAGACATAAAAACATTTTTTTGTAAATAGATAAATATGTAATTTTAGAAAATAGAGTACGAAGTGCTCTATTGTACTCTATTATACTCTATTGTATAGAGTGCAACTTCGTACAAACGTACGTGTATAAACAG